AAATTTTTGTCAAATATTGGATATTTTAAATTATTTGATGTGAAAATTCAGGTGTTCAGATTTCCCCTTTCCCTATGCTCAGAGTTTGTTATTGTTGCTGTTTGTCGTTGTTGTTTGTTTACTGACTTTCCTGGGCTAATTCTGCAGCTTTTATTCTTGATCATGTGCAGTCATTGAAGTCTTTGCTTGGTTAGCTGAATCGTCAGATAATGATTTGACATATTTTCTTAAATGCTTTAAACCAGCATGTCTTTCACCCTTTTCCAGTGGACATTTTGTGTGTTGGGGCATGCCTTCCATGCTCTTGCAGTTTATAACTCTGCCTTAGGCTTCACTTCCTGCTTGCTCAGAACCTCAAAGTCAAGCATAGGTGAGAAATTAAGGCTCTGTCAATCTTTCCTGGGCATCTGCACAGCCTTCCACATGCACATGGCCTTTTAGATCCCCAGGAATATGTCAGAAATTATCAAAACCCACTATGGACATCTCATGCCTCAGATTTTCCTTTAAGTTTTTTGTGTGCAGATTTTTGTTTGTCCCAACTGGAATCACTGCCTCTGGCAAATACAATGTTAAACAATTGCCACTGGTTTTGCAGGACAAAATCCCTGGGGATATAGGGCTCTTTTCACTAAATGAGCTATGAGTCAGATAAAATAAAGATTAGGTCCATGAATGGGACTTTTCTAGGGAACACTCGTCTGATCAAATAGTGACAGTTCTTGGGGGCAGGGCTTTTGAGGGAGCTCCAAACACATTTGCCTCCTGCAGTGGCTGCTGGGCTTCTGGCTTTTTTAGCTATGAGGATTGTTGCAAGCTTTTGCTAATTTCTAGAGTGCTGAAAAAGTTGATTTTGAAAATTTATGCCAGCGTTCTTATTGTTTTTTATGGAGGAATGGATTTTCAGAGGTCCTTCATCCATAATTCTAAAAGTGCTTTTCAATCTGTCTGATTTCAATTACTGTGCATATTGCCTCTGATGTTTTTGATATCTAATGATGGTCTATTTATATTTACTGACAGCCATGAAAGTCCATTCTTTGATTTCATTGAGAGCTGCTTGCGAAATAAACATGAAATGGTTATTTATGAAGCTGCTTCAGCTATCATTCATCTTCCTAACTGTACTGCAAGGGAGCTGGCACCTGCTGTTTCAGGTTGGTTATATATTTGATAGCTGGTTTTTGTTTCTATTCTTATGTTTGTTTTAAGCGCCAAAGGTCTTCAGGATAAGTATTAGGAATGATTTTTGAATCTTAGCTCTGTATATATAGATACCTTTGCATTCTGATATGTAGATGATTATTTTAGTTGCTTTATTTCTTTTTGTGAAGTTTCCCCATATAAAACATTTAAAAATAACTTTAATTCCTTCAGTTCTTTGTAATGTTTAAAAAACCCATTTACTCTTATAACTATAAATATTCCTACCACTCATATACTGATGGGTATGTTAATCCTTTTAGAAAAAAGAATAAACTTTGTATTCTGTATTTAAAGTTTGTATACCTCAACAAAATGTGCTTTTTCTATTTTTGATGACACATTTTTCATGTGAAATTTTGATGCTGTAATCTAATTTCCTTATGCATATTTTGACTATGATTGCTCATGCACTATATTTTCAAATATATGCTCTATGACGAAATGAGCTGTAGTCAGTGATCTTTTTTCTTTTCTAGTTCTTCAGTTGTTCTGTAGCTCTCCGAAGCCAGCTTTGAGATATGCAGCTGTGAGGACCTTGAACAAGGTAGGTCATTTATATCAATGTTTGATTGAGAAACATTAATTGTGAAGTGTTTGGCTTTCTCTCCAAGGGTAGTAAATATGATTTATTAGCTTTAGTTCTGTAGTATCTCACTTGTATTTGTGGCCTTAGATATGGCCATTTTCACTATCATTCAACTAAAGATTATAATTCATTTCTGACTTTTAAGCACTTTATAGTGCCATAAGTGGCTGTTTCCATTTAAATTAAAATTAAATTAAAAATTCAGTTCCTTAGTTACTAGTTACACCTCAAGTGCTCAGGAGCCATATGTGGTTAGTGACTATTCCATTGGATGGTGTGGATATAGAACATTTCTATCATTGCAGAAAGTTCTCTTGGATATGCTGGTCTATAGTAGCCACATCCAATAGAAACAAAATGGAGTCACATATGAAAATTTAAATTTTATAATAAACACATGAAAAAATTTTTTAAAGATGAGATTAATTTTAATAATACATTTTATTTAACCTAGTATATATAAAATGTCATATTAACATGTGATCAGTATAGCATTTGAAAAGATATATTTGGCCTTTTAGTTTTTTCATTCTAAATCTTACACATCTAGTGTTTTTTTTTCTTAAATATTTACGGTATATCTCAATTTGAACTAGCCACATTTCAAATGCTTAGTAGTTACATGTGGCTATTGACTACCATGTAGCATGGTTCTAGAGGCTGCATTACAGAATACGTTAAATAACCATAAAAATTTTAAATGAAAGTTTAATATAGTAGACGACTTGTCATAAGGTGGTGAGTGATTGGTTATGGGTTAATTATGTGAATAATTGGAGGACAGAGAAGTTTAGAGCAGCCAAGGAATAGCAATGTGAATTGTATTCAAAGAGTTGGTATAGGTCCATATTCCTTCATCTGTGACCTTGGAGCCAGATGTGTCTCAGAATTCTGTATTTTGTGAAATTTAGAAAGGTTCTACGATGCTATATCTTATATACTAACCCCATTGAGCCTGGAGCTGTAACCACCATTAGACACATTAAAATTTCTGTATGATAATATGATTATCCTTGGTAAGTGGAATAAATTAAGACTTAATTAGTTTTACAGTGTTTGGGTCATATTTTGCGGTTAAGTGAATTTTGAGGCAATACTTTGCTGTTTTCAAATTTTTTTTATTGCTATAGGCAGAGGTAAATGGCACCTACAAAAAGAAACAGAAGAATGGCAGACATGTTTTAGTGACCATGAGCAATCCAGTTTGGATGGAATTTGTTTGCTTAAATACAGAAGTGTCTTCTAAGTGATAAGATATTAACAGTCTTTGAGCAGTATTTACCACGTGAGGTCCTATTTTCAGAGAACCTAACATCCAGTTGAATGGGTATCAGTGTGCACAGGTACTATAAGGAAAAACAGGCCAATTGTAATAAAAGACAGACTGTAATATTGTTAGAAAGATTATACAAACCTGGGAAGAAAAAGTGCTATCCTGTTCTTTGACTATGATTGTTAATCATTCATCAAATGATATATCATACCTTTTTAATTGGAAACATTCTTTTTGAAACAATTTTAACCTATATTGTCCCATTCAGTTTTTAAAAAGCCACTTACCTTAAATTACAATTTCTACTTTTCGCTTCTTTTTTTTTTAAATTCTGGTTTTTATCAATAGCAATTTGCTTAATATTTTTCTTGCCCTTCCACAAGGTGGCAATGAAGCACCCCTCTGCTGTGACTGCCTGCAATCTGGACTTAGAAAACTTGATCACAGACTCAAATAGAAGCATTGCTACCCTGGCCATTACTACACTTCTCAAAACAGGAAGTGAGAGCAGTGTGGACAGACTAATGAAGCAGATATCTTCTTTTGTATCTGAAATTTCAGATGAGTTCAAGGTAAGAATATGATCATCTTCCACTCTCTATGGCTTGCCTATTTCTTAACAATATCTTTTGATGAGCAAAAGTTTTAAATATTTATGAAGTCTAATTTATATTTTTTTGTTTCATAGTTATTACTTTCTGTGTCCTGAGAAACCTTTGGCTACTTCTACATCTTAATGATTTTTTCTTATGTTTTATTCTTAATATTTTGTGGTTTTAGCTTTTATATTTTGATCTGTGATCTAACTTGAATTGATATTTGTGTATTATGTGTGATAAGTTCAGTATTTTCGCATACCAATATCCAGTCATTCCAGCATCATTTGTTGAAAAGACACATTGGCATGCTTGGACATCTTTGTCTGAAAAGCAGATAACCATAGACTTGTAGGTATATTTCTGGGCTCCTTATCATATTCCATTGATCTATTTATCAGTACTATGCCAATACCCACTGTATTTTATTATAGTTTTATGGGTATCTCTTCAATGTCAAGTATTGAAGTAATGTGGTCTTTAAACTTTGTCCTTCTTTTTAATAATCTGGTTTCTTTGCATTTCCATATAAAATTTAGAACCATTTTATAATTTCTATAAAACAAAGCCTGTTAGGATTATGATTGGGGTTGTGTTGAATCTATAAATTAATTTGGGAAGAACTGACATTTTAACAGTATTAATTCTTCTGGTTCATGAATATAGTATACCTTCCTCTTTATTTAGGTCTTTATTCTGACCAGTGTTTTGTAGCATTAATTCTAGAGGTCTTGCACATCTTTTGTTGAATTTATATCTGAATACTTTATGCTTATGACTCTATCTTATTAAAATTTCTATTTCATTGTTTGCTACCAGTATGTTAAAAAATCTCTCTCTCTCTCTCCCTCCCTCACCCCGCCTCTCTCTACTTTCCCATAACTTGGTATCCTTGTAAAGTACCCTTATCAGTTCTAGTAGTTGCTCTATACATTCCTTAGGATTATTTATATAAATAATCATGTCATCTGTTAATAGAGACAGTTTTACTTTTTCAATTCCAATCCAAAAGCTTTTCTTTTCTTTTTCTTGCCTTATTGAAATGGCTAGGAGTTCCAGTATAGTGTTGAATAGAACTTGTGAAAATGTGTTAGAGATAATCAGAAGAATAATAAATTTCAGCTAGAAGAACTAAAATAGAAAGACCTTATTCTTTTGTCTTATTTCTCAAAGAATATAATTGACCCTGTTTACTCTGTTATAGGATAAATCTAGTCTTTTAAACGACAAGCCTCGCCTGTATGTTTAAGCAGACATTTTGAATCTTTGGGAAACCTATGAAGGTCATTTTGTACTATAGCTTATTGAATGAATCTCCTGTGCTTGAGCATTTAGAGTTTGCAGTATTTTGCAATTACAAAGAACGCTGCAGTGGATAACCTTGTACATTTGTTTCCTTGAAATGTTAGCGGTGTATCTTTAGGGTAAATCCCTAGAAGCCCATATGCTAGGTTGAAGGGTAAATAAATAGGTAGTTTTGTAGAGAAAGCTAAGCTCTACCAGCACTGTATGAGTGTCAGTTTTCCCTTAGCCTCACCAATGGAATGTGTTACGTTTTGACGTTTGGCCAACCTGATGGATATAGTTTTAATTTGGATTTATTTTGTTATGAGGGAAGTTCAACATCTTTTCTTATATTTTAGGATCATTTAATATTTCTTTTTAAGTGTTGTCTGCTCATATATTTTCCCCATTTTTATAGGTGTCTTGGTTTTTTGTTTCCTTATTTAAAGGTTTTTTTGTACATGTATGTTAGGGATATTGGTTCTTTATCTATGAAATATGTTATTTTTTCCCAGTTTGCTATTTGTCTTTTGACTTTTTTATGACATCTTTTGTCATGCAAAAGTTTATTTTGCTGTAGTCAAATTTGTCAATCTTATCTTTTATTGCTTTGACTTTTGAATAATAGCCTTTCCCTTCAGATTATAGAATCTTAATGTTTCTTCTGGTAAGTTTACAGTTTCACTAGACGCCCCATGCATGAATTCGTGCACCAGTGGGGTCCCTTGGCCTGGCCTGCGGGATCGGGCTGAAACCAACTCTCCGACATCCCCCGAGGGGTTCCGGATGGGGTTCCGGATGGCAAGGAGGTACAGGCCAGGCCAAGAAACCCCACCAGTGCACAATCGGGGCAAGGGAGGGACGTGGGAGGGCTCCAGGATGTGTCTGGCCCGATTAACTCAGTCCCAATTGGCCAGACCCCAGCAGCAAGCTAACCTACTGGTCAGAGCATCTGCCCCCTGGTGGTCAGTGCACATCATAGCGAGCAGTTGAGTGGCCTTAGCATATCATTAGCATATTACACTTTGTTTGGTTGAATGGCTGACTGGACGACCAGACGCTTAGCATATTAGGCTTTTATTATATAGGACCAGAGGCCCGGTGCATGAAATTCGTGCACGGCGGGAGGAGGGCGTCCCTCAGACTGGCCTGCACCCTCTCCAGTCTGGACCCCTTAGGGGATGTCTGACTGCTGGTTTAGGCCTGGCCTGCGGGATTGGGCCTAAACCGGAGTCGGACATCCCTCTCACAATCTGGGACCACTGGCTCCTAATGCTTGCCTGCCTGCCTAATCACCCCTAACCCCTCTGCCTGACTCCCTGATTGCCCCTAACTCCTCTGCCTGCCTGCCTGATAGCCTCTAACTGCCTCTGCTTGCCGGCCTGATCGCCCCTACCTTGCCCTCCTGCTGGCCTGATCACCCCTAATTTGCCCCCCTGCTGGCCTGATCACCCCTAACCACCTCTGCCTGAGCCCCTGGCCTAAGTTGCAGTCTGGCCTCCCTGTGTGGGAGGCGACCTGGTGTATCAGGGGAAGGCACCACCCTCATTACCCCACTGCTGTTGTCACTGCTGGCCTGAGCCTGGGCCCTTGCAGCTGCTGCAGCTTTCTCCGGAAGGGTGCCCACCCTAATTAGCATGTTATCCTTTTATTAGTATAGCTAGATGTTTTACATTTAGATCTCTTATCTATTGGATTTTATTATATATGAAATGAGAAATGGATCTAATCTCATTTTTTTTCAATAACCTGTTGCTCCCAACCCCCCATTTTTATTCAATAAACTGTTTTTGCTTGTTATTTAAAACTAGTAGCCCAGTGCATGAAATCCTTGCACATTAAAAGGGAATTAATTGCCCTAACCGGTTTGGCTCAGTATATAGAGCATCCACCTGTGGACTCAAGGGTCCCAGGGTGATTCCAGTCAAGGGCATGTACCTTGGTTGCAGGCACATCCCCAGTGGGGAGTGTGCAGAAGGCAGCTGATCAATGTTTCTCTCTCATGGATGTTTCTAACTGTCTATCCCTCTCCCTTCCTCTCTGTAAAACATCAATAAAATATATTTTTTAAAAATAAGTCATAGGAAAAGGCGAATTAATATTCACAAAATAGCCCTCTTCTCCACCTAATCATTAAGAGCCTTCCTCATGGAAAATCCACATGCTTCTTCCTCACACCTTCTTAACAATAACCTCCTTACCTGACCCTCTAGACAAATTGGTAGCCACAGTCCACTAATCAGTGTCCACATATTCCTCCACCTTATCCAAGAAGTCCTCCAGAGAAAAAGACAAAAAGGCCAGCTGCAAGCACTGCTTACACTCTGAAGCAGGAAAATGAGACAGAGACGGAAGCCGATCAAGTGTGTTATCCAGGCAGTTAGCACTATGGGCAATGGGAGTTCAATCCCTCTGCGGAGCCCAGGGAGGCTGTGCAGCCCAGCACTGTCCACCAGAAATACCATGTAAGCCAAACCAGTGGCTTTACATTTTCTAGTATACACAAAAAAAGATCCTGTTAATACTTCAGCTTTGATAATGTTAGGTTGTAATCTTCTGATAATAAATCTGGTACCATTACAAAGACCCCATTTACTATTATGATTTCTCAGTAGCATGATGATTGCGCCACTTTCAATTTTAATTTATGACACAGCATTCCCAAAGGAGTAATACTATTAAGAAATTTGATGGAAAACTTTTTCTTTTCAGCATCATCTGTGGAATCAATGGAATCATCACTCAAATATGTGTGAAAATCTCCATAGAGTATATCCAGATTTTCTTCATTTAATTTTTGAACAAGCTCATTTTTTGGACAAAGAATTGCATGCTTAGATATATGTTTAATATTATCTATAGCAGTGGTTCTCAACCTTGGCTGCACACTAGGATCACCTGGGAATCTTTTAAAAATCCTGACTCCTGGGCCTCATACTCTGGAAATTGTTTCTTTGTTATGTGTTGGGGCCACAACATTAGTAACAAAGAAACAGAATTAAAACTTTATTGTGGGGAGCTGCTACAGTGTTTTGGACAGGTTCAAGCCTTGGACTGATGAGAGGGCACAGTCCTCTCATTGCCACATGCAAGTCCCAGCTTGGAGGGCAGAGCCCTCCCAGCACAATTATAGCCAACAGCTATAGTTGTAAGCTTGAACCTATGGTCCGAACACGTGGCCCCACGTGCCTGAGTGATATAGTTCAGGTGCATGTAGTTGAGTAGGATTGAAACCAACGAGAATTGTGGGCGACCAGGCTGGCAGGGGGGGCAATTAGGGGCAACCAGGCTGGCAGAGACATGCCTCCACGCTCCGAGGGCGGGTTCCTGCCTCAAACCCTGCCCTCACTGGAAACAGCTCCAGGAAACAGCTTGGGGGAGGGCGCAGCCATTGCAAGACAACCCCTGCAGGACTGACTTCCTTCTGCTTGGCTGCTGCGGTTGTGGTCGTGATGAACACCACCCATGATTTTTATATAAGTAAATACCACCTTTAATATATATTAAAGTACTATATGTACTTGGGTCTATTTTGGGGCTTTCTATTCTATTATGCTGTTTTCTTTATTCATAAATCATGATCACACACTTTTAAATATAGAAGCTTTGCAGAATGTATTAATATTTATTAGCTGCCTCTCATAACTCTTTATTTTCATTGTTTCCCTAGCTAGTCTTATGTGTATATTTTTCCTTATGAACTAGTGTTAACTTGTCTAGTTTCATAAAAAATCTCCTTGGTGTTTTTATTGGGATCACATTAATTTATAAGTTAACTTAATGTTAAGACATTTTAACCAAGAACAGTGATGTTTTATAATTTGTTCCAGTTACTTTTGTGCCTTTAAAAATATTTAAAAGTATTTTTATTAGTTTTGAATGTCTTAAATGCTTTTCCTAACTGTATTATCTTTTGTTGTTATATGTTTTAACCCATTATATCTTTTTAAAAAAATATTTTTATTGATTTCTTACAGAGAGGAAGGGAGAGGGATAGAGAGTGAGAAACATCGATGAGAGAGAAACATCGATCAGCTGCCTCCTGCACACTCCCCACTGGGGATGTGCCTGCAACCAAGGTATATGCCCTTGACCGGAATCGAACCTGAGACCCTTGAGTCTGCAGGCCGACGCTCTATCCACTGAGCCAAACTAGTCAAGGCACCCATTATATCTTTTAACTAGCTATTTTTCATGCAATGATTAGTATTATTTTTGCATTTTAATTTTATATCCTACTTCCTTGTTGAATTATTTTATTTAGTTTTATTATTGCTTTCGTAGGATTTCCAGGTATATTGTCATATCATCTGTAAATAAAGATAGTTATGTCTTCTATTTTTCAATTCTTATTCCTCTAATTGTTTTCTCTTGTCTAGTTGCACTAGCTAATAACTCCATAGTAATGTTGAATAATAGTCGATAGTGGCATCCTTATATTATTTCTGACCTTAGTGGGAATGCCTCTTGGTGTTCTCTATTTAGTAATATAGTGACTTTAGGATTGAGGTGTGAGTGTGTAAAATGGAACTATCTACCCCTTTTTATTTTTTTTTCAAGAATTTTTATTTTTAATGGATGTTGGATATTTATCAAAGTCTTTTCAGCATCTACGGATATAATCATATGATTTTTCTTTACTGACTCATTAATATATGCATTATATTAACTAATTTTCTAAAGTTGAACCATTATTGCATTCTTGGTATAAATCCCATTTCATGATGAAATATTATTTTATTGCTATAGTGTTGGAGTTGTTAGCTAATCTATCACTTAGAATTTTTGCATCAATATTTATAAATGAATTCCATCTAAAATTTTTTGTTTTGCATGTATTACATCTTTATTACGTTTTGGTATGATTGCTTCATAAAAAAAAACTGGATGTTTGCTGTGGCCGGGTGGCTCAGTTGATTGGAGCATCATCCCGTACACCAAAAGTTTGTGGGTTCAACTCCTGGTTAAGGCACATACCTAGGTTGTGGGTTTGATCCCTGGCAGGGTGCATACAAGAGGCAACTGATTGATTTGTTTTTCTTCATTTTCTATGTTCTGAAATGATGTGTATAGATTGGGACTATCTGGTTGTTGAGAAACAATTCCCAATTCTCCAGGAGTTTCTTGTATTTCTGCACATCTTGCAAGTTAGGCACTAACTGCCCTTTGTTTCCTACTGTCCTAACTTAGTTCCCTTTGTGTAGTGCAAGGTATCTTCCAACCTTAGAAAATATAGTGTCTCCCTGTACAGGGCATATTTCAATACAGCTCTAAAAGACAAAGCTACTGTTCCCTGTAGAGCAGCGGTTCTCAACCTGTGGGTCGCGACCCCTTTGGCAGTCGAACGACCGTTTCACAGGGATCGCCTAAGACCATCCTGCATATCAGATATTTACATGATGATTCATAACAGTAGCAGCATTACAGTTATGAAGTAGCAACGAAAATAATTTTATGGTTGGGTCACAACATGAGGAACTGTATTTAAAGGGCCAGAAGGTTGAGAACCACTGCTGTAGAGCAAAAAGCAAACATGCTCACTGTCCAGTATAAGAAAAATAATGTTTCCCTTCAGAACAAAAGACCGGCATGCTTATTGCCCATTGTAAAATACTCAAGTGCCATACTTCAGTGTTCTTCTCCTGTAATGCAATGGACTGCAGGTCTCAGTGTTATCTGCCCCTTTTTGCATTGTCCAGGGGATTGGGGCTCAGGAAACTGGTTCCAAATACTGGTATGGTAGCTTCTGCTGTTGCAATGAGTAATTTACTGTCTTTCATCTCTGATCCTGGAGTCTCATCTTTTCTACTAGCATTAATGAAATTGTGGCAGGCTTGCTTGTTAGCTTGCAAGTAAGGTAATATCTCACACCCTTCTCCCTTGACACTGGTCTTTAAAGTTGTGGTAAAATTATTCTAGAAACCATTTTGTAAAGTAGTTCTATGGTAACTTTCTATTTCTTCTATGGAAATCAGTCTGTTCAAGCTTTTAATCTTTACTGTTCACTTTAAAATTTTTATGTGCTTATTTATTTGGAGCAAAGGAATGGGGTCTTTTGAATGAACTTTTTATTTTCCCTTGAGGTCTCTTGGCTTATCTTTCATGAAGAACCATTGCAATTTTGAATAACTACAGCGCCTTCTTAGCTTACAGTAAATGAAGTATGCTTAGTAGCTAAAGTTATAAAGATGAATGTCCTTTCTGTGTTGGTCTTTTTATGGGTGGTAGTAGTACAGTCATTACAAAGGTGAATGGCCTTTCTGTTTGTTTTTCTGCAGGTGGTGGTTGTACAGGCAATTAGTGCTCTCTGTCAGAAATACCCGCGAAAGCATGGCGTCATGATGACTTTCCTCTCCAACATGCTCCGAGACGATGTAGGTGGACTAGTTTGTAAATCATAGGAAGTTGCTCTCTTAAATTCTTATGATTTCCATTAAATGTCATAGTATTTAAAGCAGCATGTGTCTCTCAAATAGCGTGCTTACTTCTGGTTGCTGACTTATCATTACTAAACATGCTATTGCTCTAGCTTTCCCTGCAGAAAAAAAACACTTCTGTTTCTTTCATAAAGGAAGGGAAGGGAAATTTTAATATTATAAGCGTAAGCCTTGGAGTATAAGCATTTCTCCAAAAAGCATCCTCAGAACGAATGGGAGTTTTCTCTTTTGCCAGGGAGGCTTTGAATATAAACGGGCCATTGTGGACTGCATCATCAGCATTGTGGAAGAGAACCCTGAGGCTAAAGAAGCAGGTCTAGCCCACCTCTGTGAATTCATTGAGGACTGTGAGCACACTGTTCTGGCTACAAAGATTCTACACTTGCTGGGCAAAGAGGGCCCCAGAACGCCTGCTCCCTCCAAGTATATCCGCTTTATTTTCAATAGAGTCGTACTGGAAAATGAGGCTGTTAGAGCTGGTAAGTCATTGGAACACTGATAATGGTGTAACTGCTGATCTTTTTAAATGTGTAATTCAGGGGGGTGGTGATGAAATTGGAAAATTTCTACTTGATGGTGGGATCCTTCCTATACTTCCCATGTCTGATAAACTTGAAATAGCCACTCATGAACTTATTTCCCATTTTCTCTTCAACTCACTATAATCTAGCTCTCTTCCTTAAAAATCCTCTGAAGCTATTTAAAAAATATATCACTTATAAGCGAGTTGGAAAATCAAGTTAAATACTCTAATGTTTTTATCTTTGTTCACCTCTCAGTCAGTTTAATGTACTATTGACTAAACTATCCCTTGGCTTCCACAATAGCCTGCATCTTTCCATCACTCCTCAGCCTTATTTATAGAGCTTCTCTTCCATTCCCTAAAATAATAGTTTTCTTAGGGGTTTGTCTTGTTACCATACACACTTATTCTGGTGAGCATTTTCAGAGCTCTATTCATAGGCGGTGACATTGCAGTCATGTCTCTTTCCTGAACTTTTATGTCCAACTATCTAAGGCACTTCTAATTCAACTTAAAACTAAACTCACCCAAACCTTTATCATCCATTCCTTTGCAAAGGCAGAAACTTATTCTCGGTTTTATAATCTCCACCTGTTCTTTGGCAAAATTCTATCAATTCTGACTCTTTAATATTTCTTTGTTCTCTTTTTCCTTTATTTTCATGGGTGCTGCTTTAGGCTCTCCTTCATTTCCAGTGCCAACTAGTGTGACTGCTGCCACTCTTACAGATCCAGTCTGTACTCCACACTCTGCTACAAAAATGGACTTTGCATTTAAAATCTGCTTATAAGTTTAGTGTAGCGTACTCTGCTGCAAATACACAAATTCATGCTGTGTTTAACATCCTATGTAATAAAAGGGTAATATGCAAATTGTCCCCTTGACTGGGAGTTGGACTGGAGTTCTATCAGGAGGCAGGGCCAGCCTGCCAACTGCCACGGCCCCTCCCCCTGGCGTGTCCCGCCCCCTTTCACTCCCCACCCACCCTGATTGGGGGTGGGGCCGGCCGGCCTCCCACATTCCCTCCCCCTAGCCATTCACAAATTCGTGCACCAGGCCTCTAGTCCATACTAATAATCTATACTAATAAAAGGGTAATATGCTAATTAGACCAGACATCTTCCGGACATCCTTCCAGACAAAGCCATGGTGGCGGGGCTGGGCAGAGGCAGTTAGGGGCAATCAGGCCAGCAGGGGAGAGCAGTTAGGGCCATCAGGGAGGCAGGGGAGCAGTTAGAAGCCAGAGGTCCCGGATTGTGAGAGGGCTGTCCGACTGTGTCCCCTCCCCCAGGCCGTGCCTAAATTTATGCACCAGGCCTCTAGTCTATACTAATAATCCTATCTAATAATAGAGAAACATGGTAATTAGCCGTACCTCCGCTACCCTTCCCATTGGCTAATCAGGGCGATATGCAAATTAACTGCCAACCAAGATGGCGGCCGGCAGCCAGGCAGCTTGAAGTGAACAGGAGGCTTGCTTGCTTCAGTGACGGAGGAAGCCAGTGACGTTCCCTGCCTGCCACTGCCGGTCTCTGAGCTTGCAGTTTAAGAAACATTGTTACAGATATAGAAGCTAAACAAAACCCCAGAAACCTGCTTTCAGCCAGCCGGGCTTCAGCCAGCAGGACCGCAACATTGTTTCAATTATAGAACAAATGCAGATCCCTGCTTTCAGCCAGCAGGGATCTCAGAACTGAAGTGAGCAGGACCACAACAGTTTTACAATTATAGAACCCAAACAAACCAGGTACCTGCTTTCAGCAGCCGAGGCCTCAGAGCTGGAGCCAAGCCTCAGAGCTAAAGCTGGCCCAGAATTAAAAAAAAGA